AACTTCCTCTGAGGTTAGCTGGCTAATATGATTAAAATTAAGAGAATTAAGATACACTTTGACAATAGAGGAATATACCTGCATGTTAAAACTTCATTTAATGGAAGGGAACGCATCCTGTCACCAGTAACAGTACTTCCTGGAAGTCAGTATTATGAAAAACGCAGGAGGTTTTTACATCAGTACAAATCCCACCCAGAAAGTTACAATAGATAAGCTTTTATTGAATCTACAAAACGCTGACTGAAGCCCTGGCATAATATGTTTACTAGCCATGTTTCCAAGATTGAGACACAACAATGAAAGTTGATATAAGTATGCCATTGGAGGTTCTTAACACAGCTATTCAGGGAAAATGTGCAAGTCAGTCTCAAACATTGCAAAAATCACTTACACTTCACTACAACAGGACCAATCCAGAAGATCATCAAAAGGATTTGACCACCCCACTCTATTATAAAAATTACCTGAAAGATTGTACAAAATCCTTGGCTTGCAATAGAAACTTCATTAGGAATACAAGTGCATTCACAATGACACGCTGACTTATTCTTGTCATGACAACTTAAGATACCACTGCAGCAGGGGGAAAAAAACGAATCAACTTACTGCTTGATTAAAAATAAAAGCTTTGGAGACTAATTGACTTGCAAGATATTTTGTCACGTAGAGCAACAGAAAGAATATAAAATACCAGCTCTTGCTGTTAAGACTAGACGGTCTCTCTACTAAAACTCACTAAACAGAGGCGTGAATTATTTCTGAAATAACAAAAGACTATATCATAATTTTCTCCATTGGCTTCTAAATTCTGTGCAACTAGTTCATCAGAATTTACCTTAAACATATGCACAGTCAAATTTGCTTCTTTATATCAATGTACATAAATTATATCTTCATAAATAGCTTCAGCTGTTTCAGGATTTTCAGCTCATAAAGATGAAATCTGACAGCACTGTAGAGGGGGAATGTTCCTTAACTCTTGAAGATTACTTGACGGTTAGATAGTAAATTATCTCGATAACAATTTCAAACCTAAACGGATTAAGGAAGTAATAGACTATCAAATACAAATGAGTTTACACTACCCACTCGTAACCAGTTACATAAGGCTAAGTTGTTTATGACTCTCAACTTGTCCTCTGATTTAGACTTGGAGAAATCTATTAATGGCCAAAGAAGAGTGTGAGGTATTATCTATGATGCAATAAAATGCATACCCATAAGCACACTTTTTATATATTTTGATATTCACGCTGTTAGATACATAATGAATGTGTGTAGCTTGAAACAACTGACAGCAAGACTTGCTTGGTCTGCGGTGTGTAAATCTACATAGCATAACAAACTCAATATCCCCTTCCCAAAGGGAAAAAATGTGGCAGTAACTATGAGGCTGCAATTAGCAACATAAAAAGTTAGTCCTAAACACCACTGCTGATTCAGTACCTATGCAAAGTCGCTTTAAAATCATGTACTTCAAAGAATATTTTCAGGAGTGTCTGAAATAATAGTAGATTCACATGAAGCAAACTACAGCTTCAGCTAGAAGTGCTTAAAAGATCAGTCTGTAAGTAAAAGGCAACAGGAAATTTTAAACAGGAGAACTAAATTACAGGAGAGGAAACCAGCCAGTAATTTACTTACAATAATAAAATGCTCAGGTGGTGAAATCCTACTGCAGTAGTTCCCAAGAGAACATGAGGTGTTTATATTAAAAGTCATACTCTCAAGGAAAATACTAAGCGCTCTAATTTTTTTCTTTTAATTAACAAAAATGTTTTCCAATGAAGTAGTTCTAAACCTCATAGGAAAAAGGGTACTGACTAGTTGTTTATTTTGGGGAGGAGGGCATGTAGAAAAACCTCAGCAGCTATTTTTTTTTGCCTTGAGGTAGTTCTAATTACAGAGCCAGGTGCCCCTCCCCTCAAGCAAAACTCAGTCATTCTCACCCCACTGCTAACACACCGCACTGTTCCAGTTTAACTTCCTCATCTCTTCTGACCTGCCATTTGCTCTTGCAGCTTTCATATGTTTTTGTTCATTTTACACCAGTGAAACTCTCCTAAACAAGCAAAAAACCCCCTCATTTCATTCATGCATGTCAATCTGTTTTCTTTAACCATTCTCTTCATTCATTTCCCTTTCTCTTTAGTGGTTGAGAATAGCCAACACAAAAGAAATGCACTTCACTCCTATGCTGTCTGTTTTAGAAAACTACATTTAATGGCATAGATGAAAAGCCTGAAAAGCAAGTGGAGTAATTCCAATCATGTATTTTTAAACCTGAAAAATACCATCTGATGGTAAATTCATCTGCCACCTTTCCTTCTCCACTTTATTCCTCATCTTTGCCAATTTATGTCTAAATCAGTAATGGTAGGCTTCAAGAAAAAAAATAGAGTAATTCAGTTTTCTGGCATTTCTTCAATAAAGCTAATGCAAACCAGTACAAATCAGCAACGCTTTTTGATGAGAAGGCTAATCTATCAACTGCCTTCCATATGGAGCTAGGGCTATTGCAGCTAAACTGGTTAACACATGAATCAGCCTACTCTGACAAGCTGGGGGACTAGATTCTAGAAACCGGAGACCACCGATTTCATATTCTTCCTGTGCCGTTTCAAAATTACTTCATCTTCATCATCTACTTGAGGAAGATACAGTAAGACACAGTAACCTTGAGCTATGCTGTCATGTTATTTGATAGAAAACAGAAATATCAGTAAGTAAAAACAAACAAACAGAAAAACAAGAGAAAGAAACACGAACTGGAACGATTTGCAGAGACAAATTGGCTGCCATGCCATGCCGCTGTCAGCCTAGATTTAGGCACAAAAGGGAAAAAAAATGGATTTGCAGCCTCTCTGTACATTTTTGTTGGCAAGAATAAAAACAGTCTCTTAGGGTTGAGAGATGACAATAGAAGACTACAGATGAAATAAAAATGCCACTCTGTTTTAGAAAAAAGCCTCAGATTTGTGTGCTGTGTGACACGTGTGCTAGCCAGATCTGGCCACAGGGCAATGCCATCTGGCCTGACTGGGCAACAGCAAAAGCAGATACTTCTGCAAGTGACTGGCTACTCTGGGGATGAAAAACGTACTGAACAGGAGCTGCTGGCTGACTCGGGAAGAGAACCTGGAGGCTCTCTGCTGCTCAGCCTCCCCCTCCTCTTTTAAGGCAGGAGTACCGTCACCCCTTCCGAGGCTGCTCCAGCCCTTCCACAGGCTGCGGTGCCAGCGCCAGCTGCTCCCCCCGCAC